CATTGCGTTCGCTACATCAAGGCTTGCCAGGTTCCTCACCAATCCAGGCATCAGCCACCAAGATGCTGCGGACTGGGTCCTTCTATATCTACTCAACACTAAACAGCGATCACTGCAGCTTGGAGGAGGCATCGGCCTCCAGGTAGCAAGTGACGCGTCCTTCGCTGACAACACTATGGACAGAAAGAGCTCCCAAGGCTACGCAATCAAACTCTTTGGCGGCCTCATCGCATGGAAAGCGAACAAGCAGGACACAGTAACAACATCAACAACTGAGGCTGAGCTTCTCGCTCTTACCCAGGTTGCAAAAGAAGCACTCTTTATCTCACAGCTCTTGCGCGAACTACACGTCAATATAGGCGCACACGCCATCACGATACAATGCGACAACAAACAAACAATTTAACTAGTCACTGAGGAAGTGTCGCGACTACATACCAAACTTTGGCATGTGGATATCCACAACCACTGGCTCTGACAGGAGGTGGCCGCTGGAAAGATCATCATGGAACACGTCCAGTCTGCGAGCATGATAGCAGACGGACTCACAAAGGTACTCCTAGTGAACAAGTGGGAAGGTTTCCTCCAGCAACTCAGTCTGGTGAACAGGGAGTCAACAGAAGTGCTAAACAGCGTGCCTCTAGACAGGATTCAAGAACAAATTGAGAACCTTACACGCGCATGAATGGTTAGCTTGAAGAGTTTCTAAGCTGAAGGGGGTGTGTTAGATAAGAGCGAGCGGTGAGAGGTCGGATCTGCGCAATTGAGCAGGGACCTGTCGTGCAGCCAATTAGCAGTTGCCAGGTCGATTAAGCGAGACCTGGCAACTCCTGATTGGCCCGCACACCGGCGGCCGCGAACAGCGCTAATTCCCCCCCACTTTAATCCTGTAGCAACCAGCACGACGCCACGGCAGAAACACTATCGCCACAATCATCAATATATCATCATACCACCTAAGATCTCGTTAAGCACATACTCTGGCTCACAGTACGAGCATCTGACACTTGTACACGCTAAGAGTACTTGCACTTTAATAGCAAGAAGCAGACTACATTAAGCAGCAAGAGGATGTGTAATAAGTAAGGTAGTATGTAGAGGGTAAGGATTATGTTTTTAAGGCAGTAGTCCTTAAAATCCTGGTTAAGGTGGCTCTTATAGCCGTCTAAAATGAGCAGCCTGTACGCCCCCACCTGGCTCGCCTTTGTATGCGCGTCAAAGTGCTTCAGCCACTCAAGGCCAAGCGCGTTGTTCGTCCAGCCGCTCTCAGAGACAGAGAGCTTCCAATTGCGTGGTATATCTGCCTCCTCGTACCAGGCAGAGATGTGAACGCGTCCTTTGTAGATAATAAAAGGCAGGGTACAAGATCTAGCAGCGCAGACGCTCTAGATAACTGTTACCTACTCACAATCACCTAGCTAAATAAGCTAAGGTTAATTACGTCTCTCTACACCTATAACAACCTTTATTAAGCTAATAACACCTATCTAGAAGCTAGTCTTGTTAAAGTTGTGTATGTTGTGGTTGTGTACGCTATATTTAGCTTTTGTGTCCTCTACTAGCTTAAACCACGCGCTGATTGTCTCTAGATCCTCCTGCAGCATCCTCTGCCTATCTTTAGCTTGATTAAAGGCCATCTTGAGCTCAGCTGAACGCGTTACGAAGCGCTCAGCCTAGTGCTTGCTAACAGGCTGCCCACCGCGTACACCCAACAGTTTGTTAGCTATATCTGCCACCTCGCACAGCCAGGGCGCGAATCCTCGCGAATTAAGGTCAAGAATGTATTATACAATTGTTTGCTCTTTAGTACGCGTAAGCTTATGTTGTGTGTTGCGTCTATTGTTAATATAGAGTCTGCCTCTATACCTAGCACTTAAGGTTGTATATAGTATGTTAAATACCTAAGTAGTGCTTTAGAGGCTTTTAAATTTATATAATTAGAAAGTAGAAAGGGCAAGATTAATTCTACCCTCTTGTTTAGATAATTATATATCTTGTTAGTAAGGCATTACGTGTTAATATTAATAGTTATAGTCTTGGCAAGAAATGGCCCAGGTGCTGGGTTGGCCCGGGTGCTGGGGGTTTACGTAGGCTGGCGGAATGGGTATACTCCAACGTCCTTCGTGGGTACCCCCCAAAACCTTATCAATAATACATGGATTCTAGCAAACTAGGGCTAAAAAGAAAGAGAAAAACCACCTCTATATTTTTGTAGTAGAAGGTTCTGTTATAACTATTAAACTGCACAAGCTAGAGGCTAGAAAATATTAAAAAAGGGGGGTACCTAGCAAGCATACCTATTAATAGGTATACTTTGCTAGGTAGTGTTAATAACTTAGCTAATACTAGGCAGAATTAGCTAATTCTTTTTTTATTAGAAGGCGCAATACTAGGCGCTTCTATCGAATAATAGATTATGTAAGCGTATCTCTGCTAGTTAAGAAGCTATAAGCCAAAACGTAAAAAAGCATACCCTACCCATCCGCCAGCCTAGGTTTACGTTAGCTAATAACGTACTCCACGGGTGAGTCGTTCATACGGGTGAGTCGTTCATACTGCCAAGACCACACCAAACCTCCACCCTATTATGGCTCGCATTGGCCTACTTTGGCCTTGTATACACTAGTACAGCATGTAATATTATTCAGCAACAGCTTCTACAGGCTTTTTACACGTGCACAAGTTATGCCCTACCTTATAACACTATTTACAGCGTCTTTAGGTTGCCTCACCTCCTTTAACACGCGCTTGCTTCCCTGCCTTCTTACTATTACTACGCGCCCTAAACTTAGTTAGAGTAGTTAATTAAAGGCCTTCCTTAGCTGTTAGGACCCCTTCCTGCTGTAACTGCTTTCTTTTATGCAATTTACGTTGCGTAGAGGCCTTATTTACTGCTTAAAGCCCAGTGATTTCCTTTTAAGCTAACACCAGCTTGTACGCTACTATAGCTGCGCCTTTAGCAAGCTTTTTAAAGGCCTTAACTATTAAAGTTAGTAAGCTGCTTGTATGCCTTTAAATACTCTCTTAAATTAGTGTTAATTACAACCCTATTTGTAGGGTATTGCTAGGGGTTTAGGACTGCTAGGGAGCATCTTCTATAGTAGGTAATAGTAGGGTATGTAGGCAGACATTAAGACCTATTATAACCTATTCTAGCTTAAAGGGAACTAGTCTAGCGCCTTAGAAGCCTTCTTAGATATTACTAGGAGTAAATAACTCCTTATAGGTGCCTATAAAGCATAGCAGGAACTTAGTTTTAGTAATATGCGTGATTCTGTTGTGCATAAGATCCTTAGCTTAGCGCCTATACGCCTTCTTTAAAGGGGTAAAACAACCTATATCTAGTGGCTGCAAGAGGTGTGATAAGTGTGGAGGCATACACAGTGTGATAATGTTTGCTTCCTTGCAGTATTATTAGAAGTCTAGGGAGTTGTGGCTCTCATGGCTGTTAATAAGGAGCAGCTAGTACACTCCTTAGGTGCGTGTCTTTGTATAGGCATTAAAGTACTTTAACTAGTTAAGACTAAGCTAGTTAGTAGTCTATCTGTTCTTAGAGACTCTAATAACCTAGTTGTAGGGTAGATTGTCCTCTTTGTACTAGGTAGAGAGGTAGTTGCAGCCTTTAAAGATAATGAAGGGCAGAATGGCCCATCCTGTGCTATTGATGCCCTGTATGACTGTTGTCCACTCCTAGTTGCCCTGCTGCACTGCCTTTGGCCGTCCGCGACGCTCTGAGCCTGTAACAACTGCTCCTGTTGATATCTAGTCTATTATGAAGCCTGTCTTATTAAAGTTGTACGTGTCATTATCCTAGATGCTATACTTAGCTTTAGTATTCTCTACTAGGCGGAACCAGCCCCTAATAACCTTAGAGTCCTTACACAGGGCTCTCTTGTAGTTGTACTTGCGATTAAACTTAACTTAGAGGTTAGGGCAGCGCTTAACAAACGTATTAGGCTAGTTTATGCTAACATAGGCTATATTACGCTCAGCGCGCAAAGAATTAGCCATATCAGCTACAGCAGCCAATCGAGGGGCAAATCCTCTGGCATCCAGCTCAAGTATGTACTCAGCAATCACATCCTCCTCAGTCTGATCCATATTCCGTGATTTCGGCGTGCAATTGGCTCGTGCAGTGCGTCCTGCGTATCGATCGCGTAGCGTGTTGTAAGGCGCGTTATATATAGCTGCAGCGCGTCGCAGAGTAAGCGTCGCGTCTTGTTTAACTGCCTGAAGCGCAAGCTGTATTGCAGCTTCTTTAAAGGGCTTAGATTTGTGTTGTTGTTGAGGCATTGCGTTGTGAAGTGGAATGTTGGTGTGGTCTTGGCAGTATGAACGACTCACCCGTATGAACGACTCACCCGTGGAGTACGTTATTTAACAAAGTTAGCAGCCTAGTTCTTACTAATAGGGGTCTAGTGGCGCTTAGTAAGTAGAGAATTAGCTATGCCCTCTATATTAGTAAGTCAGGGTAAGAATCCTTGCTTATCTAGCCTTAACACGTGCTAGATAATTACCTCCTCTTTAGTGCTAGTTATCTTAATTATGTTAGGCTTGCAATCGCGTTGTGGAGAGGTTCTAGCAAGTTAGTGACTAAGTGTCCTTTAAGACACGTTGTAGATAGCTGCAGCGCGTTGCTAAGAGAGTGTCGCGTCTTAATAGATAGCCTGAAGAGCAAGCTGTATTCCTGCTTCCTTTAAGGGTTTAATTGTGTTGTTACGTTGAGGCATTGTAGGTAGAGTGAAGTTTGGTGTGGTCTTGGCAAAAGTGAGCCACTCGCTTGTGTGAGCCACTCGCTTGTGGAGTACGTTACTGTGTAGTATAATATATTATAGTTGTGTGCTGTAATGTTGCAAAGTAGGTGCAGTATTGGTGTGGTCTTGGCAAAAGTGGCCAGCTCGCTTGGGTGGCCAGCTCGCTTGTGGAGTATGTTACCGGTAAATCAAAACGTGACAGCGTGCAGAATTGGGCGCGTCACGCTCGCCAACGCGTTCCGCGACCGCCGTTCCATCATCACACCACACCCACTCAATGGCTCCCAAGAGCAGTCAGCCGCCGTCGAGCGCGTCACAAAAGACAAAGCAACAGTCGATTTCAAGCTTCTTTGCGCCAAAACCATCACAAGCACCGAAAGCCCCGCCTGACCCACATCCGCAGTGCGCGCCTCCCGTCGCCAAAGTCTTTGCCCACGATGATGACGAGTCAGAAGCCTCCCCGTTAGGCAAGTCGATTTTGAGTCGAAAGCGCACAACACCTGCATCTGGAAAGGATGGCGAAGCTCCCAAACGACTGCGAGTCTCGGACAATGAGGATGCGCGCCTATCGCTCGGTCAAGCGACGGCCGCCAGCCTGAACACGCCCAAGACTACGAGGCTTGCGGAGAGGACGGCCAAGTTTCTCTTCTTATCGTCTCCACCGCGACGCGACGAGAACGAGACCACCGCCGAGCACGATGCTGTAGCCACACAGCAGGAGAAAGACAGGCTGCACCAGAAGTTTGTCAAGAAACTTGGGCGGCCAGACAGCTTTGCGGAGCTGCGCAGGAGGAACAAGATCTTGACTGAAGAGGAAGCCAGTGGAGAAGGCGAGGCTGAGGAAGAACAAGACGAGGACGCACCCAAGCCTGCTGCTAAAGGGAGGAAAGGCGCCGTCGCGAAGAAGGCTGCCTCGAAACTGACGCCCATGGAGAAGCAATACCTTGAAATCAAGCGGAATCACCTCGACACAGTCATTGTGATGGAGGTTGGCTACAAGTTCAAGTTCTTGGGCGAGGACGCACGGACAGCCTCGAAAGAGCTCGGAATCGTGTGCATACCGGGCAAGATGAGATACGACGAGCATCCTTCTGAGGTGCATCTCGACAGATTCGCCTCTGCCAGCTTTCCAGTGCATCGTTTGCAAGTCCACGTTAAGCGTCTCGTAAAAGCGAACCACAAGGTTGGAGTGGTCAGGCAGGTCGAGACGGCGGCGCTGAAGGCAGCTGGCGATAACAGGAACACGCCATTCGTGCGGAAGCTTACAAACCTCTATACAAAGGGCACATATGTTGATGACGTTGAAGGTCTGGAGACGGCACCGGACAGTCAAGGCTTTGGCGCACAAGCAACAGGCTACCTGTTGTGTATCACCGAAACTAACGCGAACGGCTGGGGCGACGATGAAAAAGTACAGGTTGGTCTAGTTGCCGTACAACCTGCGACTGGAGACATCATCTACGACGATTTCGAAGACGGCTTCATGCGAAGTGAGGTCGAAACGCGTTTGCTCCACATTGCACCAGTTGAGTTCCTGGTTGTCGGTGATCTGTCGAAGGCCACAGACAAACTAATACAGCACCTCTCAGCCAGCAAAACAAACGTTTTCGGAGATCGCTCGCGTGTCGAACGTGTAGAAAAGCCCAAGACCATGGCTGCCCAGGCCTATGGTCACATTTCCAACTTCTACGCCGGTAAGATGAAGTCTACTCAAGAACGCGCCTCATTCAGTCAGGGTGCTATCCTCGACAAAGTGCATGAGCTGTCGGAGCATATCACCATATGCCTCTCAGCGATGATCACATACCTGAGTGAGTACGGCTTGGAGCATGTCTTCAACTTGACGAAGTACTTCCAGCCCTTTAGTGCGCGCTCGTACATGCTTCTGAACGGTAACACACTTTCAAGCCTGGAGATCTACCAAAACCAAACCGACTACACAGCAAAAGGTAGTCTGTTCTGGACAATGGACCGGACCAAGACTCGTTTTGGACAACGACTTCTGCGGAAGTGGGTTGGACGACCGCTTATCGAAAAAGAACGCTTGGAAGAGCGTATCGCGGCAGTGGAAGAGCTCAAGAATGGCGAGAACACCATGCCTTTTGACAAGTTGAAGTTCTTACTCGGCAGGATCAGGACCGATCTCGAAAAGGTGCTCATCAGGATCTACTACAAGAAATGCACGCGACCGGAGCTTTTGGCTGCACTGCAAGCATTGCAAGACATATCTGGCCAGTATCTGGAAGTTCAGTCTTCCGAGCAAAGTGGCTTTTCGTCCAACTTGCTCAGCGAAGCAGTGGCAAACATTCCGACAATCTACGATGACCTTGTGACTTTCCTCGAGAAGATCAATGCTAGCGCTGCGAAGGCCGATGACAAGTACAACTTTTTCCAAGAGGCACACGAAGCAGAAGATATCAACGATCTCAAGCTCAGTATTGCCTCAGTCGAAGACGATCTTAACACCTATCGCAAGGATGCCGCCACAAAGCTTGGGATGACGAAAGTCGACTACGTTACTGTTGCTGGCATTGAATATCTCATCGAGGTCAAGCGGAAGTCTCCGCAAGAGAAGAGGGTTCCTGCGTCGTGGCAACAGATCTCAGCAACCAAAGCTACCCTTCGTTTTCATACACCCGAGGTCAAACGCATGTGCCAAGAGCGTGATCAGTACAAGGAGTCTCTCGCTGCGGCCTGTGACGCTGCATTCAAACGCTTGCTGGACGATGTCTCGGCCAAGTATCAGGAGCTTCGAGACTGTGTCCACTCAATCGCAACGCTCGACGCGCTCTTTTCCTTGGCCATACTAGCAAATCAACCTGGTTATGTGAAACCCACCTTCACAGACGATATCGAGCTCAATATCACCGGTGGTCGACATCCCATGGTCGAGCAGCTGCTGCTGGACAGCTATGTGCCGAACGATCTGAACCTCTCGCACACCGCTACGCGCGCATTGTTGGTCACAGGACCGAACATGGGTGGCAAGTCTTCATACGTCCGCTCTGCTGCTCTCATCGCCATTATGGGTCAAATCGGGTCATATGTGCCTGCAACAGAAGCACGGCTTGGCATGCTAGATGCTGTGTTCACACGCATGGGGGCGTTCGATAACATGCTCAAGGGCGAATCGACATTCATGGTGGAGCTCAACGAGACATCCGACATCTTAAAGTCTGCAACTCCCCGTTCGCTCATCATCCTCGATGAGCTGGGTCGTGGCACGAGTACGTTCGACGGTGTCGCTATTGCCGAAGCAGTCCTCGATTATGTTATTCGCGACCTGCAGAGCTTGACTTTGTTCATCACGCACTATCAGCACCTGTCCAAGCTTCACTCGCGATTCGCCAACGACGAGCTGAAGAATGTGCACATGTCTTTCGAAGAGCGCGGCGGTGGCAGAGAGGTTGTCTTCCTGTATGAGGTGGCTGAAGGCACGAGTCACCGATCCTATGGTCTCAACGTTGCGCGACTGGCGAGGGTACCCGAGAAGGTCATCGATGTTGCTGGTGTGAAGAGCGCTGAGCTGGAAGACAACATGTCGGCGTGCAAGATCGGTAATCTGTAAGTTTCACTGAAGTGTTTCGATGTCTGATATGCTAACTTCGACCAGGTCGCGTCTGATGAAGACTCTGATGAGTAGCGACTCAGAGGAAAGTCTCGACAAGGTCATTGAAAGTATCGAGCAGTTGTGAGCAGGCTCGTATACAGCTGGACATGTCAATCGTTGCTCCGTCATGTTAGTATATGTACGCGACGAAGTGAAACCCACACAATTTAGGTCCTATGTAGGCTCAGATCGTACGATCGTTTATCTGTTTCGATAAAGCTCATGATGGTGGCGTTAGTGTGCAGTTCCAGCCAACAACAGCAGGGCCCCATTGCGCAAACATATAGCCGAGCACGTCATCCGCTTCCGCTAATAGACTGACATCGGTCAGCGACTGACAACCCACATATTGATATATTGGTCTCGAGTAGTCGTAGGAACCGTCCTCGGCACGAAGATGTCTGAATCGACTTCTAGATCAGTGGCTATCATCGGCGCGGGTGCTGCTGGTACGTGCGAACGACATCAACACACCGTAGCTACCATCATCTCACGATCCGCCAGGTGCCGCTGCAGCTGCAGCTTTCGATGCAGAAGACGCTTTCGACATCATACAAGTGTTTGAGCGCAGGGAGACGCCAGGAGGAACATGGTCACGCAGAATGGATATGTAGTCAATTTCGCGAACTGACTACGATGCAGGATATACGATCCGGACCCGGCACGACCGAGTCAATTACAGCCTGGAAAGAATCCCCCAGATGTCGATCCTCCTCTAAGAGTACCCCAAACTCTACCAGCTGCTACAGCACCCACAGAGCAAACGAGATTCGATAGAACGCCCATATACGAAGGTCTTACGTGAGTCGAACCTTGCACATATGTGATCACACACTCGGCTGATCAAACCGAAGAACAAATGTTCCCGAGATTATCATGTCGCTATCAGACGAGCGATTCGCTTATGGACCATTTGCACCACACTGGGTTCCAAAGCAGTATATTCAGAACTACTTTGCATCGCACCACACGGATCGATTTCTGGTTCTGAACACTACCGTTGAGGATGTCACTCGCGAACGCGATAATTGGCGCTTGACACTGCGCCGCCACGACCCCACGCAAAAGGTAGATATCTGGTGGGCTGAACACTTCGATGCCCTCGTTATCGCCAATGGGCACTACTCGATACCCTATGTACGCTTCACGAGCCACCTTCAGGCCGCGCTAACGAGCTCAGATCCCGAAAGTTGATGGCCTTGATGAGTTCATGGAAAAGTACCCTGGAAGAGTCGCGCATTCGAAATTTTACCGTAGTCCAACTCACTACCCCGGGGGAAAGATTCTCATCATAGGCAATTCCGCTTCCGGGTACGATATCACGACTCAGTTCGCCCAGTCTGGAATCGTTGCTCTTCCAGTCTACCAATCGCGGCGGTCACCCTCGCGCTGGGATGGCCGTGATCCTCCACCAGGCGTCGTTTGGAAACCCGTCATCACTTCCTACTCTTCATCGGGGACGATACACTTCGCCGACGGAAGTCACCTAGACGACATCGACACAGTAATCTACTGCACCGGGTACAAGCCCTCGTTCCCCTTCTGGAACAGTCATGCAAACGGCGGAGAGATCTACGATTACCAGGAGAGCAAGTTGGACGCGTTCTACCAGCATACATTCAGTACAAAGTGGGAGAGGAGCTTGGGCATCATTGGCATACCCCGGGTATTGACGTTTCGATCTTTCGAGTATCAGGCCATCGCTCTGGCCAGATTATTCTGTGGCCGCGAGGCCCGGTGCTTGCCTTGTATCCCCGAGCAGCGCGACTGGGAGAAAAAGAGGGTTGCGAAATGTCAACAAGAGGGTCGCCTGTTTCACACCATTCTCTGGGACGACGGTGAGACGATGGAGTGGTTTAGGTATCTGTTCGAAGTTGCTGGGCTGCCGGGGTTGGAAGGCAAGGGCAGGTATCCGCCGCAATTGACAAGGGAACAGAGGTGGGCGTTTGAGAACCTGAGAAAATATCCTGAGCCAGGGAAAGGGGACAGGAAATACTCGATTGAATCAGATGGGTGGAATCTCGTTGGAAAGGAATTTGAGGAGAAGGAGCAAGACAGTGCATGGTTTATTTGAGCTCCTGGACAGAAAGAGCACTCAATCGATGGCTTCTTGTTGATGTTCTCTTTTTGCTATTCCTCAACGTGTCTCGAGGCTGACAATGCAGTGTTGAGGCCTGATGTCTGCAGGCGCGTGGGGATATTTCGTTATTCACTGCCGCGATGGCGCAATTTACCGAATCCATCCGATCCATTAAAACACCATGGACGCCATATCTCCGGCGTACCCATTAGGATAGCTTTTGCAGATCTCAGTGCGACTCAGTGATACAGCACGCAATCGCGACCATGGATGTTGTGAGCCATACAGCCGTGAACCGGTGCTGTTGTGTGATCACTCAACATCGACCCTGATGGTGCGGAAGGTCTCCGAAGAGCTTTGATTGATGAATTAGCACTATGATTAAGGAGCTTAAAGCTGCTCATCAGGAGGTATAAAGGAGGTCGCCAACTGCGCGCTTCTCATTAAGGAACTTGGCCGTGTAACAATACCGGATCTAGTCTTTCGAAACTTCCAAAATGGCCGCACAAAATGGCACAAACGAGTCGAATGGCCACTCGCCCATCCAACCCCACGAACTGAACACAGACCCGGACCGAGTTCTTTTCGCGTGCGCCCGTCCACACCCATACTCTGTTCCTGCTAATAACCCCCAGCTACTGGGTCCCCAACGTGTCCGGCGGCCTCGTGATCTCCAAGATCCCACAACGCACCTCCTGGGATCTTAAGTCAAACACGCGCTACGCGCAGAAGGCCGAGAGCGTAGGCTTTGAGTACGCGCTGACCCAAATCCGCTTCACAGCCTCGTACGGTGCGGCAAACCAGCACGAATCCGTGACCTTCTCGCAAGCTCTTCTTCACCAGACAGAGCGGCTTAAGCTCATCGCTGCGATACTGCCGGGACCCTGGAACCCGACCATTGCCGCGAAACAAATCGCTAGCATCGATAACTACACCAATGGGCGCATTGCGGTGAACATCGTCTCCGGCTGGTTCAAGGGCGAGTTCACGGCTATCGGGCAGTGGTGGCTCGAGCATGCCGAGCGGTACAGGCGGAGCCGGGAGTTCATCGAGGCGTTGAAGGGCATCTGGACCGCAGGAGACGAGGGATTTACATACGGAGGCGATTTCTACCAGTACAGAGGGTACAAGCTGAGCCCCAAGCCATTGAGGTGGGAGGGGCGAGAGCATCCGGAGATCTTCCAGGGCGGCAACAGCGACGATGCACGCGATAACGGAGCGCAGGTCAGTGACTGGTATTTCATGAACGGGAATGATCTGGACGGATTCAGGACGCAGATCCAGGACGTCAAGGAAAGGGCCAGGAAGGTGGGGCGCGAGCAGCATGTGCGTTTCGCAGTGAACAGCTTCGTCATCCTCAGAGACACGGAAGAGGAGGCAATTCAGGTGCTCGGCGAAATCCAGGGCAAGGCGGATATCGAGGCTGTTGAGGCGTTCCGCGACGCGGTGCAGCAGGCGGGCGCCAGCACGGGGAATAAGAAGGGGATGTGGGCGGACTCCAAGGTACAAGACTTGGTTCAGTATAATGATGGGTTCAAGACAAAATTGATCGGGACAAAGGAGCAGATTGCTGATCGCATCCTGTTGCTGAAGAGCTTGGGTGTCAATCTAGTGCTGGCGGCCTTTCTGCACTACGAGGATGATATCGAGGCGTATGGTAGGGAGGTGCTGCCGTTGGTGAGGAAGCTGGAGGCTGAGGGGCGCGGCAAGGATGCTGAAGATGAGATTGCAAGGACTGGCGATATTTACAGGAAGTAGGGTATCGTTTTTGGGTATCGTTCTTGGGTATCGTTCTTGGGTATCTTTCTTGGGTATCTTTCTTGGGTATCTTTCTTGGGTATCTTTCTTGGGTATCGTTCTTGGGTGTCGTTCTTGGGTGTCGTTCTTGGGTGTCGTTCTTGGGTGTCGTTCTTGGGTGTCGTTGTCCTTGGGTATCGTTCTGAGGTATCAAGTATTCGTGGTCACCGCAATGAATTCGAGACTAGTTGGTTGTTCACGTGTCCAGCCAGTCTTCCACCCTTCTGCGCGAGTAGTGGTTTGTCACTTGCGGCATCAGAGCTTCGTCGATGACGTTGAGCGACTGTGGACGTGGTGCAGGTCTTCTGCCCTTGTCGACCGGTCCTCTTTGCGCAGCACCTCTCGAGGCTGCCCAGATGTTGCCTGCTGGCGCTGCGGCTGCCGAAGGCCACTTTTCTTTGATGATGCGCAGTGGAGCGCACATGGCGGCGGTAGTGCGGACAGGTTGGTGGTGCAGGAGGTCAAGGTCAGGCGGTGTTGCTCAACGGCTGATGTTCTGATCCGAGCTCGATGACGTCTCGGTGGTGAGGTGCCAAGACGGAGCGAGCTTAGCTCGCAGCTCTCCAAAAGTGACCGAGTGTCGGTGCTCTGCAGGGCTGACCACAACACGTCCCATCGCCGACACGACCACGATGCTCGCCCGAAGCGCCCTGTGCCCCGCGAGGGCCTTCGCCAGCCGCCAGCCGCCCGCCATTCTCGCGCCGTGCTCGGCCGCGGCGTCTTCCTCTTGGACATGCACACGACCAGCCAAGCTTCCGCAGCACTCGCAGCACTCCCAAACGCGATTCCTCACACAACACCGCGCCGCCTCCACCAAGCCTGCCGTCCGCAGCGCCGCCACAGCGCCGTCGGCGCCCGGTGCCAAGCAGATACCAGGCACAGCAGCTCTCACATGGAACGACTTCTTCGCCCTGCGCCGAACGCGCCGGCGGGTTGGGCAGGCGTGCTCGGGCGCCAGTGCCATTGGCGTGACGTACTACGGCCTGACCTTCATGATCAACAACGGCTACGACGCCGTTCTGTCGGAGCAGCTGGGCGGCTTTGAGCCCATGATGCTGATGGGCTTGAGCACCACGGGCATGCTGGCCGTAGGATGGCTGATTGGGCCCATCTTTGGCAACCACGTCTTCAATCTGGCGTACCGGGGCGTGCTGAAGGAGTTCACAGCCGTATGTCGAGCTGCAAGGTCGTTGGCAGCATAGTACTGACGCTTACACAGAAAGACTCGGCCTTCTTCAACCGCATCAAGCGTCACCGCGTCGATCCCTCTGTCTCCTCGCTCGCCAACCCACCGCCAGACTACTACGGCGAGAAAATTGGCAGTGTTGCTGGCTACAGGCGCTGGCTGAAGGATCAGCGCGCCTTCAACCTGAAGACCGGCCGACACCAGCGCGGGCAGATCTAGGCTTTGCAACGATCAGAGATGCAGGTACACACACTGGCGAGAACCCCTACTTTTTCATTGACTGTAACTGTAACTGAGCGGCAGTGTTTTTGGAATGTCGCTAGCGATGGCATTATGGCGCGTTCACGGCCAGTCTAATTGTTTTCAAGAATGTCCAATGTCCAACGGCGAGCTTTTGTACTTGTACTGTCAACCGTCATCTCCCCTCCAGGGGTGTACCACGCAACACATCGCTCTTATCATCACATTGCCACTGACCGTTGCAGTCATCACTTACCGCCCTTCTTACGGTACTTAGCCGCATCCGCCCAGCTCTCTCCATACGAGAAGGCTCCATCAATATCCTTAACCTCCTTGCAGAATCGGCACTTGCCGAAGTATACATCTCCCTCCATTGTACGGAAGTTGAATTTTTTTGGTGCTATGGGGTCATCAAGGCACTGTTGTAAGCTGTGGGCGTACTTGTTGCAGGCACCCTCGGGCAGCTTGTGGCCTGATTTGCTGCAGTGGATATAGTGCATATATTTGTTGGTTCGTGGACACATGCTGGCTGTTGGTTCTGTGCAACCAAAGAGCATGGCGATACCCAACCCTTTATATGTGGACTGCTGAAAAGATTTGACCAGGTGACACGTAGTGACGGAACTGCTTCATTGCAGATCAGGTCACAAATCGACAGCTATGTTCCTCGCTGTACAGCGCAGTATCAAGAGCGAGGATCAATTACCGATTCACAACATTGAAAGGGGGTGGCTATGCCGCCATATTATGGTACACGCCTCCGACAATTTGAACGACTAGTGTGATTTCACGGCAGCAACGTCAATGTGATCTACCTTTTTGAAGTGAGCACTTGCTTCCACAACGTTAGCGACGTGCGGCCACTCATTGATACTCCCAGAATGCACAGAAGGACGTCATACTAGTTGGTCCTATTCAAAAGAGAACTAGGTTCTACAGTACTCGCATTTCCGACTCTGTTACTTGCGGTACGCCGCCGCATCTTCCCACTTCTTACCAAACGCGAAAGCGCCACGAAGGGCCCTACCCGTCTCACAGAAGCCGCACTTTTCTTGTTTGGCACCGCCAAAAGTCATGTGCCTGAGGTCGAACTTCTTGGGGCTCACTATGTCTTCGGTACATTGGCTAAGTTTGTACGAGTAATATTGACAAGCGCCTTTGGGGATTACGTGGCCGCAGGGCTTGTAGAAGTAGTGTGTGTTGCTGTCTTTCGGGCACATTGTGGTGGTGTTGTAAGTTAGCTGCTTATTAACTACTGTTGGTGTCTTGGCGTAGTGTGGTCGTTGTTGGCTGTGTTGATACCTCGGATGATGCACTTTATACTGCTTATCTATGAAATTGAGGCCTTCTTACATGGCTCGAGGGAGGCTGTTACTCAATTGAGGTTGTCACTTAAAGCCGATTTCACAGTGCCGAGGCTTTATGAAGTTTCCAAACTCAAGAGCATACAGCGACCACTTGAAAGTCGTTCACACTTTGAGCCGGTACAATATGTCCGAACTCAACAGGCGTGCCCATTTGAGTGGCTATCGCACTTACAGCATTGAAGAGACATCCGACAAACAACCAGCATCAGACATCGCTCTACACAGCATTGAACGCGAACACGATAATGTGCGATCCTGGAACAGCGAAGAGGGCTAACAGACCGAGAGGCAGACTAGTGTTTTCGTTACGAAAGTTCCTGCGAAGCTGTGTGACTGAATGCACGTCAAAGAATCCAAGCAACCACCGGTATTCCAACTGCGTGGTGCCCTTGCGGCGTCTATCAGGGAGCGTATTCACATTCAGCTTTCATGTATATATACATCGGCGAGACCGGCAGGAGTCCCCAGACAATTGCTAGCTGACATCCTCAAGTATCGCTGACTACAGTATCAGAAGCGAGCCTTAATGATGTGCGATCCTCACAAAACCGAGCAGAGGATCCACTACCGACGCTGCAGTCACGTCATTGCTCGGTATGTGTATGGCCAACCCGCGTACCAGGGATATAGACAATCCAAAAGCCTTCAACAAGATGGCGAGAGTTCCAAGCCTATGCAAGTTCTGTTACGAACTCAGAGATATTGACGACACTTACGGCCACGGGCCGGGCTGGGAGAGACGGAAATACTTCACTACGTAGTAAAAGAGCGATAGCTAGTGACTGAATATACACTGATTCAATGCATGGCCCGTGAGACCAAATTATCCTGGGTGACTACATAGGTTGCACGGGAACATAAAACAGAACTGGACATTGAACATCTTCTCGTGGAATCACGTCCGCAACTATGTTATCTTGCCCTGCCAATTGCAATAAGGTGTCAATTACACCTTACGCTTTGGTTGACGTTACATTTGCTGGGAGCACATGTCACAAATGGTGATTGAACTCACTTTTGTGAGCAAACCTGCAGGATATTGCGAATGACTCCAAGTCAAGAGCGGCAACTGGTCACCCTCATTCGATCTCGGTGAGGGTCACACTGAATGGACGTATAAATATACAGATGAGTCCAGGCTTCATGTCCACAATCTGTCAACTCCAAACACCAATCGGCTACAACAGGAACATCAAACTAATCATGAAGGACAGAAGGAATGGTAAATGTAGTTTATGTCACGAGGACAAGGACCTTAATGGTAGGTTCAAGCACGGCAGGGGATGGGAGAACCGGTAGCAAATGAACTCCATGGAGAAGGCGGGTGAGTCGATTGATGTAAGCCGCTTTAAGGAAACACTCAGAGATAGAGTCGAATAGATTGATGTATCAACACCGAATTTCTAGAATGCCAGTTCTCAGCAGCGCACTGCCACCACTCACACCCTCATCAGCAAACGAACTGTAGGGATGAAGTCCTGGCTGTCTTTCTGTTGCTGATCCCAATCTTGTGGGAAGGCAGCCAGGGCAGCAATGATACCACAGATCATTAAGACCAGCGATACAATCGACCAGATGACACCCCAGCATTGCGAGGAGCCACCATACCTCTTTGCGAAGACACTGGCGTCTGACGAGTTGACTTTTCGGAGAATCAAATCGTCACAGATGTCCCAGACGCTGTAAAGACTCGACATGACACCGATGAAGAGCTGGACCCGAGTCAACAAGTAAGTTACGAAACTTGAGGGCACAAACTTACCACAACGAACCTCAACGCCTCAGCATGCTGAATAAACCAACAAGCAACCAACAAGCCTACCGCCAACAGAATCGTGACGATCGTCAACCAATCCTTTCTCGCCCACCACAGCGTCAACAAAAAGCACACGCCGAGCACAATACTCGCGACCTTGCTAGCAACGATATTAAATCCGCAGAACGTTAGTAGCGCGCCAATCAGACTCGATCCAAGATACCCAGCAGGCAGCGTAATGAACTGCTTGCCGCCGCGCATGTGCGTGACGCCGCCTTCGTGCGGATCCAGGCTGATGGACTCAACGCGCCCACCTGTGCAACAGGCGGTGATTGCGTGGCCAAATTCGTGAAAAGCGATTACCAGCATCTGATCTTGTTAGTCACGTGCGTTTGCGGAGATGCGGAGTTCAGCTAAAGCGCAGCTGAGAGCAGCGTACCTTGAAGGGCCACAGGACCCAGCGTATGTAGGGCACATTCCAGAGAATGGCGATTATCACGATGTAGGCCCCGAGCACTCCTAATGTGACGCCTTGCGTGTGGTTCACACTCAGGCCGCGACGCTCGAAGGAGTGGAGGTGTGGCTGGGCAAGCGCTGGGCCGGCTGTAATGAGGGCCCGACCCGCTAGTTTGCCGAACGTTGGTGAGAGGGCCGGCATGCCTTCGCAGTAGGTAAGTGAATGAAGGGTGTGTGTGTGTATACAGATCCGTAGGTTTTCGCAAGAGAGAGTGATGTTGTTTAAGTTGTCTCCAAGGTTGGGCCAGTTGATGTGGTTTGACAGTTGACGCGTATTTGTGCGTACGTGCGCGCCACGTTTGTGCTAAAATGAAAGTGGCTGAGCAGCAAGCACTCTTTGTGCCGATCTTCCGAGCGAAGCACGATCTGTTCAACACAGAGACAATGTGATGTCATACATAATGAAACAGCATCCGTGAACATGAAGCCACTGATCTTGAGAATTGATGAAATTGTGCTATTTGCAAAGCTTCTTGAAAGACAAGAGACTGGCCAGTACAGACAGGATTCTCTACGAAACTACACAGAACTAAAGAACCGGTTTTATCCAGCAGCTGCTCAACAAGCTTATACAACCCTGTCGTCACCAAGGGTCTCGCGGTGCATGGATCTGTTGCGAGGAGTGCCATCGGAGTCCTTCTCATCGATTTTCTCATCGACCGACCTGGGAACGTGTGCAGCGCCTGCGCGCTCGTCCAAGATCGAAGTGCGGCGGTGCCAGTAAGACTCATCGCGCGTGTTGCGGTCGACATACCCGGCAGGAACCCAGCTCTTACTGCTGGTCGCCTTGACACTCAAGTCCATATACATATCGTTGACGCTCTCGAGAGTCAAAGACTTGGTCTCGAAAACAAAGAAGTAGACGATAGCTGCGGCGACGAAGTTGCAGGCGAAGAAGACGAAACCAAAAGCGTAGCCGATACCAGCGTTGGCGTAGGGAGTCAGGAAACCGATCAGGAAGTTACCGAGCCAGTTGAAGGCGGTCGCGAGCGAAGCCTGCTTAGCACGGGTACGAAGTGGGAATGTCTCGCCAATGACGACCCAAACGAAGGGTCCCCAGGTGGAAGCGAAAGATGCGATAAACATGCAGGCGCAAACGATCATGACGATGCCGGAAGAGGCGTACTCTGTGGGTGGGCGGACAATGCCGATGATGGCGAAGATGAGCAACCAAGCTGCCTGCCAGAAACCACCGAAGACCAAAGGCATGCGGCGGCCGAAACGCTCAATCATCCAGAGACCGGGGACAGTCATAGCAACGTTGACCGCACCGAGAATCAATTGTGTCTGGATCGGATCGTCGATACCGGCGGACTCAAAGATGGTGGCTCCGTAGTAGAAGAAATAGTTGACTCCGGTCCACTGCTGCAAGAACTGGAGTGCACAGCCCAAGAAGGTACGGTATACAAGGCGAGGAATGTTAGAGGGCTGGCCAGTGAAGCACTCGACCCAGGTACCCTGACCGGCCTTGGCCTGCTCCGCGATCGATTCTTGCATCTCCTTGAAGTCGTCGTTGACAAATTCGTCGTTGGGGTCGTCTTTTTTGCCACGGAGGCGGGCAAGCGACATACGAGCTTCCTCCCAGCGACCTTTACCGGCAAGCCAGCGGGGAGATTCCGGGGAGAAGAGGACACCGATGCCGAGGGGAAGGGAGAAGCATATTCCGAGACCAATGACGATTCTCCAGGAGGCGTCGCCATCTTGACCGGGGCTATCGCGAACGCCATAATTAATGATGTTCGAGATGAGGATACCGATAGTGATCATGAGCTGGTACGATGCGACCACTGCGCCTCGGATCTCTCGAGGGCAGCATTCGGACTGGAACATGGGTACACCGATCGAGAGGATGCCAACCCCCAGACCAGCGACGATACGACCGACCATCAAATGGACCCAGGAGTACATTGCAGTAATCTGGACAATATTTCCAAGGACGAAAATAGCAACGCCAATGGACAGACTGCGTCGTCGACCAAACCAGTCGGCGGTGTAGGCACCCGCAAGGGCACCGATGAGCGTACCAATGGACATCATGGAAACAACCAGAGACTGGATCTCGGTATCGAACGCCCACGTACCATCAGGATTCTGGTACTGGCCGAAGCGACGCCTGAAGTCAACGAACAGAAGCATACTGGAAATTTGTCCGGTATCGTAACCTTGACATGGTGAGTACTTGGCATCGAATATGCGTTGAATCGCAACTTACCGAATAGAAAACCACCTATCGATGTGACACAACCCAGCATGATTGCCTCGATTCCCACCTCGGCACCACGCAGCTTGATGGATGTTTTACCGAGACCCATGATTGCAATGAGCCTGAGGCTTTCTGGACGTTCTGATGCGAGTCGAAAGCGACTTCGGTGAGGTCTCTCACTTGCTTCCCTCGCTGACATTAAGTACGAATGCCTTTAATGTGCAGACCATGTGGTAATGCCCAGGTGCCCAGCCTATGCCGAGACATAACATTGGTGAGCGACGTCATACGCGCCACTACCGTCACCCGAGAGCAGCAGCAACCTTGGCCGGTCTGCTGCTACGGCCAACGGCAATCTCGGAAAGTCCTGTAAGTCGCATAGCGTTTCTTGATTGTGTGACACCGGGGTTGCTCAAAGCAGAAACGTTGTGGGGAAAACAGACGCGATTCGACCAGGCCAAGCAACCAACATCCGACATGACCGGAGAGCCCCAATCCATCGCCATGGGGTTTGCACGCGTCAGTTGCGATCCGCAGCTTCTTCCCAGCTTCGACGTTACTTGACCCAGCATCTTGGGATCGCGTGTGCTGCAAGCCACTGATGCCTTCTTCCCCGCAAACTAGTCAACTGCCAACGTGCCGCGATCTTAGACACAGCATTGTGCTGGTCGCGTGAGTTTTTTCAGGAGCTACAATTCCGAGTTGCTGCCACTAGGGCTTCCCCTTGATCAGGTGGGGTGCAGTAGAGTAGGTGGGGTTTACTGATCGTATCCACAGTCTGTGCCAGTCTCAACACTTCCAAGATTTTAGTGAGGCTCTGCGACGCAACTCCACATCATTCCCACTCCGACTCTTTAATCCCGCAATGCGGCTGACGACTGACTCGTGTTATCTCCACATGCGGCTCTCCAGGAAGGATTCTCGTCAAGTGCTGGCAGATGGCGGGCGACATGTACCTAGCGCGCAATGGCCGTTCTTCCTCAAATTCAGAGTGCCAGACGGGGCAGTATCGGCCTCCGGAATCCGGTGCCAAGTTTCGAGAATTATCGGCTCTGTTTTGGTGGAGGCCTTGTTGGGTCCGTTGATCGAAGTCCAGGAAATTTAAGAAATAACGGGGCCCCCAAGAATTCTGCGTGAAAACTTTGGAGTACACGTGGAGGGCGGAGGTGTGTGGAGTACCTAGGGAGACGCGGAGCCCCAGCCTGAACACTTTTCGTTGACCATTGGGAAATCAAAAAGACGCAAAACCAACAACGCCTGCTCTATATAACAAACCGGGCGCCTGCGGACCTCGCACTTTCAAGTTCCGGGTTCGCAGTTCTTCGCTAGCATTTGTCTAGCGCGCGCCACGATGTAAGTGACTTGGGAAGATGGATCCTCTATTCTGTACAGCAGAGGTATCGACTCAAGGTAGAGACTGCGCACTCGGCTTTGTATCACCCAATCTTTAGAAGAATGGTAACAATAATGCGGTTTGGGTACCCGCGATGCTGCATGCGAATCAAAGAAGCCACAAAAGGCAGGACAAGACGAAGCCGCTACGAACGCGGCTCGCCGGCCGCGGCGCGGCGCGGCGCGACTTGAGACGGACTAGACGTCATGACCGCGTCGAACCACTGAACGCTATCATCAGTGAGGCGCGAAAGTCAATTGACGAAGACTTGACGCTATCAACATCAGTTAGGAGAGTACGACTGCACGACAGTTTAGGGACCACACGGTATCTGAACACATTGCAGTTGGAACCGTAGTTTCCTTCAGCACATCGAACAGGTTGCATCGTCGCCCTTGACGGCAAACGACCACAGAATGGCGGAGACGTTGTACAGTGTCATGGCATTGGTGCCCTTGGCGGTATGCTTCCTATACTATCAGCTGAGGCAATACCGCTTCAAGAAGTATGCGCACATTCCCACACCGCTGAAACCCCAACTTCTCCTTGGTCACCTTGGTTATATGGCCAAAGCCTTCCAGAAACGTGGCAATTCAAAGATGCATCCAGGTACGACAACACACGGAGCTGGTCGACGATCTACTGATACAGTCAGACTATATTCTTGAGGATATCTGGAATGAAAATGGACGACCTGACTTCATGCATTTTGACTTCAGGCCAGTGCAACACCCCATACTGCTCGTCACTAGCCACGAAGTCGCGGAGCAGTTGACAAGGACCACAAAGTCGCATCCGTACGGCACCCGCAAGTCGCCAACTATACAATCGCAATACAGCGCACTGATAGGGAAGAAGTCCATATTGACTGAAGAAGGCGAGAGCTGGAAAGCGCTGCGCAAGCTCTTCAACGCAGGCTTCGCACCTCAGCATATCGTTACTTTGCTTCCTGTCTTAATTGATAAGACAAATATCTTCATCGAAAACCTAGACGCCATTGCACGGCTAGGCGCTGTCACAGAGCTAGACAGCTATTGTGTCAATCTCACCTTCGACATCATTTGCCAAGTTATTACGAACGTCAACGTCCACGCCCAAGAGGAAGGTCTCGCACATGACCTGATAGTCAATTTTCGCCTCCTTCTAGACACCTACATCTCAGGCAGGGGGCTGGGAATTACGGCGTGGAACCCATACATACAATTCATGCGGTACTATTACAGTCGCCGAATGGACGTCGCGCTGTTCAAGATCATCCAGGAGAAGTTTGACGCCGTTCAACAGTCTCGCCGTACTGAAGATAAAACTACCAAAGATCGGTCTGTTCTCGCACTTGCACTGAAAGACGTGGAAGTCCTCACTCCCGATGCCAGCCAGCTCATTGCCGATCAATGCAAGACATTCCTCTTCGCTGGGCACGACACAACGTCTATCCTGCTCCAACGCCTCTTCTACGCCTTATCGATCGATCCGCCTCGCCTTGCGAAGCTCCGTCAAGAACACGACTCCATCTTCGGATCCGATGACCCGCGTACCGTCTTCCTCGCCAGACCTGACGAGACCATTCAAGAACTTAGCTACACCAGCGCCTGCATCAAGGAAGCACTGCGACTCTGGCCGCCCGCAGCAACAGCGCGTATGACCCACGAGAACTTCAAAATCCGCACAAAGGAAGGAGAAGATGTGCTGGTGGACAACTGCGTGCTCTATCCCATTCAGCACCTCATCCACCGTGATCCCAATGTCTACGGACCGACTGCAAATGAATTCATGCCTGAGCGATGGACAGGCGATAGTGATACAAGTACCGCTACAAACGTCAATGTGAGTGGAACGGCTATGTCTACAGGAAAGATACCTGCGAGTGCGTGGAGACCATTCGAGCGCGGGCCGAGGCAGTGCATTGGTCAGGAACTCGCCAATTTGGAGGCTAGGGTGATTCTGGCATGTGTGATGCGAAGGTACGACTTTGTTAAGGTCGGTGTTGGAGAGGTTGCGACAGATGGGAAGGGCGAACCAGTTGTGGATGAGAGTGGCAGGTACAAGACGAAGTCCGAGTTGATCAGTGTAAGTCTGTCCGTGCTTAGGGAGAGTTGAGGCTAACAAAGAACGCAGACCATGAGTGTCACAAGTAAGCCGATCGACAAGACGCGGATGATTGTCAAGTTAAGGCAGATCTGATGGCGGGGGTGCCTACTATCGCGGACTGAGTTGCATATAAGCCTAGCTGCCAAATGACTCCCTAACACACGGCCAATCTAGACCACGAGTAACTAAGCTCAATTTGCGCAGACCCCATGCTTTTACTCCCAGCGACGGTTACCAAGTGAAACCCTCTCTCAGGGAGCTAATGTCCGTGGTCTTCTTGGTTGTGCTCACTGCAGGCATTGGTCCTTTCAGCGTCCTTCACTTTGCGCATTGAAAGTTTGTCTCTCTACTTATAAGCGCTCTAGCTTCTTACATCTTCCACAGGTCAACTTACCCCACCATCTCTCCAGCCATGCCTTCTGTCACCATACAATGCATCTGCTCTGGCTGCGAGCGTCTTGTCCACAATGCCACACCCATTCTACCCAAGACTACGCTCACGGACTTCGACACTAGAAAGTTCTGCTCCAAGCCCTGCGCCGAACAGGACTCTATTGATTCGATGACGTGTCGCTACGACGGCTGTTACAAGATGGTTGCGCAAGAGCTGTCGACAACCCGCCCTAATCCGCCAAGGTTCGACGAGGAAATGTACTGCTCAATCGAGTGCGCGCATAAGCACTTTCACGAAGAGCCTCTCAAGACCACTAAGCCCGTCATTCCCTGCGACGTTTGCGCCAGTGACAAAGAACTGACATCGTTCATCCACATCAGCTACCCAGAGGCGTACGATGAGCGGGGGGAGACCCGAACAAACCTCCCGATACCCAGCGACTGCGTTTTTTCGATCATGCCAGAGCGAAGGAACTTCGAGTCGGGTGTTTGCGTTGACTGCATCGCCACTTTTCTAGAGACGCAGTTCCGGGCCCGCGGTGCGAGGGGAATCACCTGCGTCTCAGACATCTGCTATTGGCACGATCCGGACGGCATAAACTCGTGGCTAGACTACGCTCTAGCGTTCTTGCCGGAGGTGTTGCACGCAAACTTTCAGCAGCAGATGCTCGAGCTGTGGCTGTCGCGCATGACGCGGTGGGTGTGTCCCGGGAGCTGTCAGAGCGCCGACTACATCGTGGAACCTGCGAACACCGCGGGATATCCACAAGTCTACTGCGAGTCGTGCGAGCAGCGCTTCTGTGCTATATGTAGGGTTCCGTGGCATGCTGGCGTTACTTGTCAACAGTATCACGCAGATCACCCTGAGCTGAGGGATGAGGACGAGGTGCAAGTTCTGACAGACATGGCAAAGGCTGGTGCAAGGCGGTGTCCATGCTGCCAGTCTGTCATCATCAAAGACGGTGGGTGCAGCTACATGGTTTGCGAAGCATGTGGATTCGAGTTTCATTGGGGAAAGGCTGAGAAGATTGGTCCGACTGTCGGGGGAGAAGACGACTTCAGTGCAGCATTGCAAGGCGGTGGCGATCCTGCGGAGTCTGAAGAAGATGATGACGGGTACTACGAACCTCCTGCGGTATGCGAGATGGACCGCATAGTTTAACGCCAACAGGCCGGGAACGTTTCGACAGTGATCCAGCCAGGGTCTTGGTGAGTGCGACTACATCACATTCCGCCGCTCAAGTGGTCCTCGGCCTGAGAGCCAGCCTTCTGATACAGGAGGGACTGCAACAATCATATAACGAGTCTTGGGCGTAAACAGACCAAAACGTGCGTAGTAAGAGATTATAGCAACTTTGCTAAAGTCTTGTTTTTATTGTGGCTTAGCGCACACTATAAGTGTAAAGGTAGGCAGGCTTTTGCGAGCTATCTTGCAGAAGCCTTGACTAGACTAGTTAACATATTTCTAGCTTTCTTTCCCTATCTCTAGCTCCTCATTGCTATTGCTATTGCTGTTGCTGTTGCTGTTGCTGTTGCTGTTGCTGTTGCTGTTGCTGTTGCTGTTGCTGTTGCTGTTGCTGTTGCTGTTGCTGTTGCT